TTCATTTATCACGGTAGGGTCTAGAACCGATTAACCGCGATAAACGAGGGTTCACTGTATCGCGTGGTCTTGCCTCATCCTGTGACCACGTTATGTGTCTATTTTCAGGGGAACAGACCCAGGCTCAGAGAGGGTCGGAAAGTGCCCCAAGGACATACACCCTGAACGCAGTAGAAGCAGCATGGTCTGTTTGTTGCTTCAGCCAATCTGACCCCGAAGTCGATGCTATTTTCTGTGATTTTTGACTCCCATCCGTACCAGTGGCACCTGGTGCATTCGCACTGTATCTCGCATGGACAGAATCAGCTGTTGGCACACTGCACAATCTCCATCTCAAACTCTGGCCTGGGGTGTGAGCTGGGGAGAGAGAGAGCAGATGTCTCATAGGAACTTCCTTCTGCTTCTTCGTCTTCTGACATAGACAGAGAAGACGCCAGACAGCAAAGTGGGTGAAGTGGTGGCTCCAGAGCAGATACATGTACCTGGAATTTGTAAATATGATCTTTATTTGGGACAAGGGTCTTTGCAGATTTAATGAAACCGAGGGTCTCAAAATGAGTTCATTCTGGGTTTAGTATGGGTCCCAAATCCAGGGACAGAGTCCTTCTGAGAGGGGAGCAGAGGGACACAGAAAAGAAAGCTGTTAAGACAGGCAGAGATGGCAGTTATATGACCCCAAACTAGAAGCTAGAAAAGGCCAGGGAGATTCTCCCTTAGAGCCATTCGAGGCAGTGTGGCTCATCAACCTCTTAATTTCTGACTTCTGGACTCCAAGGCTGTGTGAGAATAACTTTCTTTTGTTTTCAGTCATCTTCGTTGGAGCAATTTGCAACTGCAGCCCTAGGAAACTAATACAGTTACTGGGCTCGCAGATTGTGGGGGAGCTTCTGGGGATTGCTTCTCATTCTCTGATACTGATTCACCTCCACATTTAAGGAGGCAAGGGTGATGGCAAGAACTTATTGATTCCATTCATTCACTCATTTATTGAAGGCAGTATGGCTGGTGATAAAAATACTACATAGCTCTACTAAGGGGTCTAAGATGCCTTAGTGGGCTACCCTGGGAACTTGATCCACACCGTGATAAGGACGGCAAACAGGTCGACTTGAGAGAGTTGTGAACTTCATCATAGGATTTGAGCCTAATCTGTTTCCAAAGACAGGAGATATGGACAAATCTGATTTTAGGATGAGTCTATCTATCATCAGTGTGTATGTTTCTCAAGCCAAACTCTCCCTAGCGTCAGTGTTCTGAAAGTCAGGTAAGGTGTACTATTACTAAACTAAAATATTAGCACTCCCCCATTTCCCTTTTTCAATAGAAAATGAAGCCAAATAATCAAATTACCCACTTTTGAGGTTTTCTTTCTTTAAATGTTTCTTTCTGTTTAAAAATCATTTTATTGGGAGCTCATATAGTTCTTATCACAATCCATCCATTTGTATATATGTTGCCATCATTTTTAAAAAAACGTTTTATTAGGGGCTCATACAACTCTTATCACAAGCTATACATACATCAATTGTGTAAAGCACATTTGTACATTCATTGCCC